TCTGCCTACTTATAATCTGTCAAATAAATAAGTAAAATCTTTAAAAAAAAAATGAAAGAAAGAAAGAAAGAAAGAAAGAAAGAAAGAAAGAAAGAAAGAAAGAAAGGAAGAAAGGAAGGAAGGAAGGAAAGGAAGAAAGAAAGAAATAGGGGCTAAGAGTCTGGGTCCAGAACCGGAAAGGTGTATACTGAGTTTACGTGACTGCCCCTGAGCAGACTTAGACGATTGGTGTCGCCCACTTGGGCACTCAGGCTTTGGGTGTGGTTTTGTGATACCAGTCAACCCGCTGTCCCCTCGGTTGCTTTTACTTTCCACGTGACTAACACATTTCAGTCTGCCAGTGAGCTGAGTGTGATGTTAGTATTTCAGTGTTTTCTATGCAAGAGCACCTAAATGCAATTCATGAGCTTCGTTCGGTGCTCACACAGGACAAAACTCTGTGGGACATTTTGAAGGACTCCTTTGGTTTTCAAAGCAGTACCTTTCTAGAGGATTTTCACATGTAGTTTGGATGGACTAACCAAGGTTCCACCCTAATTTCTGTCTTCAGAACCTAACCCCAGGGTCATTTAATCACTATACTAGTGACGCCCACAGCAAGTTATTTAATCTGTCTGAGCTGGAGCACTCCTAGCTACACATGCCATAAGGTTGTCATGAGGACAAAATGAGATATAAAAATGAAATGCACACCAGGTCCTGGGTGGCTCAGTCGAATAAGCATCTGCTTTTGGCTCAGGTCATGATCTCAGGGTCCTGGGATCAAGGGCCATGTCGGGCTCCCTGTTGAGCGGGAGTCTGCTTCTCCCTTTACCCCGCCCTCCAGCTCGTGCTCTCTCTCTCTCTCAAATAAATTAATAAAATATTTTTTTAAAAAATGAAATGCATACCAAATCACACATAAACAGATCTCTTGTGCATATAGAATTTCTGCGTCAGGTTGATTTGTGGAGAATGTGCACTTACCCCAAAGAAAAACTCAAAAATAAGCCTTTCTGTGGTATTTAGTTTAGATATTTTAAAAAATATTTGAAGTCGTATCATAACATTAGGACCCATTCAACTCTGGCTGTTAACCTAATACACCTCCAGGCAACCTTAAGGACACCAGACTGATAGGATGTTTGCTAAGACTGGGGTGAGCAGCCACCTGTGAAAGCAAGACGCCAAAGCAGATAAGGATATCAAAGGTTTCAGCTTTTCAGCCTGTCTGTTCTTCCACAGGCCGTATATACAGGCCAGCTCTGTCAGTGGAAGTGAGAACCAGGCTCTGCTCTCTCAACACTCAACCGCTACCTCCAAGGCTCCACACAGAGCCAGGCTCTAGCAGTATCTAGAAGACCTTTATGTCATCTTGGCCCCAGATCTCCTCCATGAACCAGAAACAAAGTTGTATAACAAGATACAGGACAACACACAACAAGTAAACGCAATAAAGTTTAACTGTGCTTGAGATGGGAGGAAACACTGCAAAAACACCACACCATCGACTACCAAAAACCCCAGATGTGGAGAAATGACACTGACAACCTCCATGTTTTCTCATGCTGGCTGGTAATATTCACATGTTATGACAACAGCTTATGATGGTATTTGCTGGGAGTCTGAATTAGGCTATTCTCTAAGACGTGGTAGTAGGAGGACTAGCGAAAGTAGCTAGTACCCGTCCATTTTCTAAGTACTATATGTATGGCAACTCATTTCATCTTCCTCTAAATCCAATGGGATGTATATTATTTCCATACCCATTTCATAGATGAAGAAACAGAACATAGAAGTAAACTGCCAAGATTATACAACTATTAATTGTGGGAGCTGGGATGTGAACTCAGGTAGTCCGTCTCCAAAGATGGTACTTTTCTGGGGCCGGAACACTTTTCTGTAAAGAGCCAGCTAGTAAATATTACAGACTTTTATATGGTTGCATATTTTTGTTGTTTTTAATAATCCTTTAAAAATATAAAATCTGATCTTAGCTTATAGTTAAGACAAAAACGGGCTGCAGGCCCATTGGGACCATAAATAATCGGCTGGTTAATACTATACTCATTGATCAAAGTACACAGAGGATATGCTATTTGATACCCAGCCCATTCAGTAAATCCTATATGCCTCTAATACAAATGGTTTTGCGTTGATAAAATAATCCATAATTCTGACTTCATCTCTTTCTCATTTTGTCTGCGTTATGAGGTCTCACTGCGTTTTCCATGAGCTTTCCCCTCCTAACTACTGTTTCTGTTGCTGGACATTTAAGAAGAACAGTAAGTGGAGCAGGATTATCCTGATTCCAAAACCCAAATTTACAATTTTGTTGTAAAGACACAACAACAAAAAAGACCTATAGACCATTATCTCTGATGACCATAGATGCAGAAATCCTTAACAAAATATTAGCGAATAAAATCCAACAATGTATGTTAAAAATTAATTCACCACAATCTAGTAGGATTTATTCTCTGGATACAAGGGTGGCTCAGTATTCACAAATCAATGTGATATATCACATCAATAAGAGAAAGGATAAAAACCATATGATCATTTCAATGGCTGCAGAAAAAAACATTTGACAAAGTACAACATCCATTCATGATAAAAACCCTCAACAAAGCAGGTTTACAGGGAACATATGTGAATGTAATCAAGCCTTTATATAAAAACCCACAGCTAACATTATACTCAATGGGGAAAAACTGAGAGTTTCTCCTCTAAGGTCAGGAAGAAGACAAAGATGTCCACTCTCACCACTTTCAATCACTGCAGTACTGGAAGTGTTAGCCACTGCAATCAGACAAGAATAAGAAATAAAAGGCATCCAAGGTAAGCAAGAAGTAAAACTTCCACTATTTGCAGATGGTATAATCCTATATATAGAAAAGCAGAGATGACTCTACCAAAAAACTACTAGAATTCATAATTAAATTCAGTAAGGTCACTGGATAAAAAAATCAATGTACAGAAATCCATTGCATTTCTATACATTAATAATGAAGCAGTAGAAAGAGAAATGTAAAAAACAATTCCATGACAATTGCACCAAAAATAATAAAATGGGAACAAACTTAACTGAAGAGGTGACAAAAAAACTAATTCAAAGGAATAACATGCACCCCTAGGCTTCCTGTAGCATTATTTACAATAGCCAAGCTATGGAAGCACCCCAAGAGTCCAATGATAGATGAATGGGTAAAGAAGATGTGGTACATATATACAATGGAATATTACCCAGTCATAAAAAGGAACAAAATATGGCCATTTGCATCAACATGGATGGATCTAAAGAGCATAATGTTAAGCGAAATAAGTCAGTCAGAGAAAGACAAATACTGTTATGATTTCACTCATATGTGGAATTTTAGGAAGAAAACAAATGAACAAAGAGAAAAGAGAGACAAGCAAAGAAACAGTCTTTAGAGAAGGAACTGATGGTTCCCAGAAGGGAGGTTGGTGGGGGGCTCAATGAAATAGGTGAAGGGGATTAAGAGTACACTTAACTTGATGAGGACTGAGTAGGAATTTTGAATCACTGAATTGTACACCTGAAAATGAATACAACACTGTATGTTAACTACCCTGGAATTAAAAGGAAAAAAAGAGGGGGGGGGCTATAAGGTTGGAATAAGAGCTCTTCCAGCCACTTTTAATCTGTCATCGGCTTTCTCCCCATGCTGATTATTATATATGGAAGTGACACTAGACAGTACAGTATTGGACTGGAGTCTGTTCTCTTTTTAACAGACTAGAAATACATAAATAAGATGCATTCTTTCTAAAACTTCCGACCTACCACTTTCCTGGGACCAGACATTAATTAAGGCAGTTACGTTAGTAGAACTAGCCACCTGGCATCTAATCTTTTATCATTTTCATGAAACCTTAAAATGGCTTATAAAGAGACATGGTTCACGAAATGGATTAATATCACAACGGAACTTCATGCTTTCTGGGTACCTGCTGTATGCTTGAAGATTAAAAATGTCATTGCAACATTCTAGTCTAGGCTCCTAGTGGAGAAATCACTGTGTTATGTTACTAGGTTTGGTCAAGATTAAATCTTGAACTTGCAAATAAATCCTGGTCATTTTTTTGACAACTCTGTGGTACATAATATAGAACTGTGCCTCATGTAATAAGTGTGAGGAAATCCTTGGTTTGGGCATAGCACTTTGAAACTTAAGAGAAATTTTATGGAAGTGTCTTTCAAGTTATTTTGACCACCACCTGGAAAAAATATATACCAAATATTTTATCATGATCCAATCCATAGCTACCTACACACATATGTAAAACCAAAACAAAGTTTCAGAAGCAGTTGAGACATTTCTTCCTATGGTTGAGACATTTCTTATTATTTTCTTACCTATTCCACTTTGTTTAAATTTTGGATGCGTCTCCTAACACCCAATTTATTTCGTAACCCACGAATGGGGCTTGACCCCATTTGAAAAACACTCAGATGTTCATGCTCACACTGCTCATGGGCCGAAGGTATGTCTTTCTTACCTGGTTCCATTTCTCTAGGACCAGATCTCGCCATAATCATCAGTGCTCAGTGATGCTCCTCCTGACTTTGCCACTAATGTGAAATCCACTGTTACATGCTCTTAGAGCCCCACGACTTCTCTCTTTGACATTTAGTGGGAGTTCTAATTGTCCATTAATTTATGACTATTTCATCTATAAGTGTCTCTCTCTATATGGAGCCCTGCCTAGACAACAAGCTCCGTAAAGGTAGATATTCCATTTTTACTTTGCTACAATTATATCCCCCAACTGTGATTAATGAGTAAGAAGTGTTTAAGTGTTTATAAATAATAAATATAATAAATAAAATCTTTTTAAAAAAAGAAAAGTTTATTGAATAAATGAATGGGCACCCTAAGGTTATCTGGAACATTGTTTTAAACAGGGTACTCTGGTTTCACTTAATCTTCATTATTTATTAGCAACTGAAAAGCAACTGATAATCCTTCGCATTGTTCTTTTTGTTTGTTTTACAGTTAACTTTGACCACTTCGAGATTTTGCGAGCCATTGGGAAAGGCAGTTTTGGGAAGGTGAGAACCCAAATGATTAGCCACCAGCAGGGTTATGTAGCTCAGGGAACAAAGTCTGAGAATGTTCCGATTATTCAGTTACTGGGACCACAAGGAATGATAATTCAGAGAGGTTTTTTATAAAATGCTCACTACAGGGACGCCTGGGTGGCTCAGTGGGTTGAGCCTCTGCCTTTGGCTTGGGTCATGATCCCAGGGTCCTAGGATTGAGCCCCACATTGGGCTCTCTGCTCAGCAGGGAGCCTGCTTCCCCCTCTCTCTCTCTGCCTGCCTCTCTGCCTGCTTGTGATCTCTGTCTGTCAAGTAAATAAATACAATCTTTAAAAAATAAAATAAAATAAAATAAAATGCTCACTACAGCTTGAGGTGTGTAGTATAATGGACACATCTTGTTCTCAGAATTATTTCAGTGTCCTGCTCATTAACTCTTTTAAGACTTTCTCACCACTGCAAAATGTTGGACTCAGTTGCTAATTGTACCCATACCTTTGGTAACATTTATCCTGTCAATGTAAGAGTTAACTCTTTTTTAAAAAAAATATGTTATTTATTTATTTATGAGAGAGAGAGAGAGAGAGAGAGCATGAGGAAGGGAAGGGGCAAAGAGTGAGGGAGAAGCAGGCTCCCCACTGAGCAGGGAGCTGCACAGCAGGACCCGACCCCAGGACCCCAGGATCATGCCCTGAGCTGAAGGCAGATGCTTAACCCACTGAGCCACCCAGGCGCTTTTTATGTGGAAAAGAAGCTGCCCAATACCTGTTTCCCCTCCAGTTATACCATGTTTTTATTTTCAAAAATCTACCATGAAAGATAGATCCAGGCTAATTTTTTTGCAAGAAACTTCTAGATTCAAATCCTGATCATTAGTTTGATAGAGACATACTTTGAGAATATTTACGTCATACTGAACTCGCCTTTTAAAATCATCTGCTGCCCACTTTATCAGACATCTAGACCCTCTAAAAGAATTCCCAAAACATGGACATCATGGTCAGGGCTTTCTCAGTGCTTTAAGTTCTTTTAGGTTCTATCAACTGTGGTGTAAAGAGAAATTCTTTGCGCCATGTTGTTCAGCTAGGCAGTTCAGCCGCACGCCTATCAGTCACTCAAATCAGAATAAGCGTGTCATTGGTTGTTGGAAAATTCCTGACAAGGAAGCAGCTATTTTCTCCAGCATGCTGTCTAAGCAAAACCCAAAGACCAAAAAACAGGCAGGCTTGTTTGAGAAGGCAGAGATTCACAAACTGACCCGGTACAGGGGAAGAAAATGAGATTTTCTACTCTGAAATCAGAGCTAAGCAGCAACTTTAGCATCAGAGAATTTGCAAGTAGGGAGGCCTCCAGTCCGTGCTATTGAGCCCCTCCTGTCCTGTCTCCCACGGCTGTGATCTGTCAGCTCCCTGACTGCTCTCCCACTCTGGTTTGTGCCATTAGGTCTGCATCGTGCAGAAGAACGATACCAAGAAGATGTACGCAATGAAGTACATGAACAAACAGAAGTGTGTGGAGCGCAACGAAGTGAGGAATGTCTTCAAGGAACTCCAGATCATGCAAGGTCTGGAGCACCCTTTCCTGGTCAATTTGTGGTAAGTGCTTTTACGGGCTCTCTGAATGGAGCCATTCCCGCCTTCACCTCCAAACACTGGTCAGTAAACCCATCTGGAATTCCAGGTGTGCGTGTGCAAAATCTTCAGTTAGGCTTTTCCCCAAAGGCTTTGGTTCTTTGACTTTGACTTTCGTCTTGGTTTCTTTGACTTTGAATGAAACAAATTGTTGTTTTATTGTCATGAATAAATATTGCCTTTTTTTTTTTTTGGTCACAGTTCCCAGGTCCTTCAGGAACCTATATTTTTAAAAACATGGCAGCTAAATAGGCTGACAAAGAGTGAGTTCAGATTTCCTGTCATTCACTAGATACTTTTCCCCCATTGATTGTGGGGCAGCAACATTGGGTGCTAGGTAGGTCCTCAGCGGCTGAGGGGAGGTTGGTCTTGGGAACATGTACAGAAAAGCACTTGCTCTCTACAGTGACTGGCAGTGGACATGGATTCCTTGCAGCAGCCTTCTCCAACGTCCACAAACATACACCTGGGAGTTGGAAAAGGACAGGTGCTGCCTTTCTCACCAAATAGCTTCTAACAGAGCCGGAGCTAAACTCAGATCAGTGGCTAGACATTAGGTAACTGTGGTCTCCTCCCCAAGCCAGGATCACAATCCAAGGCTTAGTAAATGGCTAGAAACTGGCTGTGTCTCTCACTCCCTGCTCTTTTCTTACGCGTGGAGGGCTGTATGCAGCTCTCTCATTTTCCTCTACATTTTAATGCATCCATTATGTTAAGAGCCTGTTCCTAAAGCTAATTCAGTGTGACTGTTATTTAAATATGCATACCAAGCAGTTTCTACTAGCAAAGGCAAAAAAAAAAAAAAGTCTTTATTCAGAGACTACTAATGGAAAAATACTTGGAATGTCACTGTGTGTTTGGGGACATTTTTTCTGAAGAGTTAATGCATAAAACCTGTCTCCCTCCATTTTTAATTAATACAGTTCATTTAATATACAGTTCGCTCCAAGACGCTACAACCAGAGTTGAAAAGATGGCTCTGTGTGACCTGGAAATAGGTTTGTGCCCTCCTCAGACACGGTGGAGTCTAACTGTGGCCCACGCTCAGTGTGTTTAATCAGTAGCTCAGAGTGGCCTATTCACAGCACTGCCACGCACTGTTACATCCATGCAGCTCTCCTCCCCACCTTTCACAATCACCAGATTGCCTTCTCCCCGTCTCTCCACCCTGACAATGATGAGGTGCTCTCAATTCACATCCTCCCTTTGTTCAAAGTCACATTCTCCTTCTTCCAAAGCTCAGCCGACTCACTCTCTCCTTTTAAGACCAGGAACCCTTTAGAAGGATATACTCTGCATTTCCCCCTTTCACACCGCTGGTCCCTCATCACTAAATAGGCAAAATGGATTTCAGTCTATTCCTGTTTTGCTTTTTTTATAAGGTGGGTGTCTACCGATTTTGCCGTTTGCTAATTTGGTATCAATATAGGGAATACTTGGTGTGCCACGAATACAGACTTGGTGACAATCTGACACAGAGCCTAGACTTCCCTCTCACACGGAACCTCACAGGACAGTGGGCACCAGTAACAGTGATAGAGGAGGGAGAAGAAACCCGCCCCCCACCTTAATTCTAGCACCACATTCAGAACTGAGTGAGGGAGGGCATCCTTCAAGGATAGCAGAAAACTTTCTGTAGTTCAAATCTTGAGATAAGAATGGTCAGAGGGATGCCTGGGTGGCTCAGTGGGTTAAAGCCTCTGCCTTCGGCTCATGATCCCAGGGTCCTGGGATCGAGCCCCGAATCAGGCTCTATGCTTGGCAGGGAGCCTGCTCCCACCCCCCCACCCCCTGCCTACTTGTGATCTCTCTGTCAAATAAATAAATAAAATCTTTAAAAAAAAATGGTCAGAAAGCATATTGATTCCTTCTAATAAAGGCTTTCTGTCTTAGTAAGTACAACATAGGGAATGTAAGTGACTCTTCAACTATTAAGCAACTTGCAGTACTTCTGGAGGTGTGACCTGTGAGCAATATTCATAATTTTTTTAAAGATTTTATTCATTTATTCATTTATTTGAGAGACAGCATGAGCAGGGGGAGCAGCAGATGGAGAGGAAGAAGCAGGCTTCCTGCTGAGTAGGGACCCCGATGCAGGGCTCAATCCCAGGACCCTGAGATCATGACCTGAGCCAAAGGCAGATGCTTAACCCACTGAGCCACCCAAGCGCCTGAATCTTTATCATTTTTAAGTCACCTGGTTATAAGACGGGGTTAATGTGTGTAACTTGGGTTGTTTTTATGAGCAAAATGAGATACAGTGCTATGCTCAACACAGAGCAAGCATCGTATAAATGGGAGTTCTTTTCCTTCCTTGTTCCATGAAGGTGTAGCATTCCGAACATGTCCATCCCTGCTGGGCCACTGTGGGCACCCCAGACATAAATTCCAGTGGCGCTCAGCCTCAAAACATCACAGGAAGTTGTGTGTGTGGTGGGGGAAGGCCAAGTCTTCTACTCATTCTCTATAAGAGCTTGTGATTTTTTGTTTTCCACCCTCATTCTGCAAATTAAAGAACAAAGACTCAAAGATCTCCCCCATTATGTACAATTTAATCAGGATTCTGTGCCTTCAGTTTAACTAGAGTTATCTTTACATCCCCAAAGCATCAGGAGCCAATTTTCTTAAGAAGCATCATATGATTAAGAATGTAACAGCCATCCTTTTTAATCCCTGTGTACCTCTTGCGTACTCTATCATAACTGGTAAGGTCAGTAGGCCTCTCAGTATTGCTTTCAGTAGTCTTCTCCTGGATACTCCAAATGCTGCTAACTCCTGGGGATATATTTAGAAAATTCTGGTTTTCAGGCTGAGGAAAAACACAAACTGTTTCTTTTAAGCAGGTTTTACACTAATGTTAAGAAGTTGGTGTGTGTGTGTGCGTGTGTGTAGAGGTGTGAATACATATGTGCTATGTGAAAACTACACACATGGCAGTCAACTGGAAGAACAGAAAAATCACAGAGAAACGAAAATTCTTCATAATGCTTCCACCTTGAAACAACCACTTCCAACACGTCCGTGTGTGCTGGCCAGAGAAATGGCTGCCTCTGGTTTTCTGGTTTTAATCATGCTTAACCCCATTCGTTCCCTCATTTGTGGCTCTATTTACCGAGCAATACAAACAAGGTGGCATTAGGGTTGCCAGATAAGACACAGGACACCCAGTTAGATTTAAATTTCAGAAAAATAACCAATTGTTTTTAGTATATGTCCTAAATATTGCGCGGTGCCCATTTGATCTGAAAATTATTCCTTTTCCAAATTTCTAATGTAAGTGGGCATCTTGTATTTTTATTTACTGAATTTGGCAACCCTCACTGTAATGCAGCCCCAGAGTGGGGGGACGTGGGGGTGAGCAGTAGTGGGCAGAGCCCCTGATGGACCCCACATTTTCAGTAACCTTGAGAGGCTGCTATTAATCAAAGGATATAATAAATGTATCGAGTGTGAGAGGGCATGAAGGACTAAGTAGAATGGGAGTGAGTGAGTGTGAGTGTGTGTGTGTGTGTGTGTGTGTGTCTTCGTCTGGGCAAGCTGAGTTAAGGGTGAAAGCATATTTTGAATTAAAATTGAACCTCCCCAGCCTCAGAGGACCTGACCCCACTCGGGAACACAGTCGTCGGATGTAGGCCTCCTTATAAAGCAAAGGCTGCCTGACAGGGCTGGCATCCAGGAAAAGCAAATAAAATCTCCCTGCGAGTCCCTCCCGGAGGGCTGCTTGCAAAGCCTTGGCAACCCAGATCCTGCAAACAAATCCCTCCCAGTGCTGCCCAGCAGAGCCCGGTTCCCCAGGTGGCTTTTGTTAATTGAGATTAAGCCCGCAGCTGCACACACAGCTCCTCAGGGCAGCCTGCGGCCCCCTCCCTTGTCTCTTGTTCTGGGAACAGAAGGGGCCCACGTGTGGTTTCAGGAAATGAGAAGACAAGATCTTCTGTTGTAAGTGGAAAGGACCACCTGTATCGGGACTGGGAAAAGGGGGTCCTTGTCAGACCACTGAACACAGCCAAATAGGTTCCCTGGAATCAGCCTCCATTATCGAGGACTGCACACCAGTGTTTCTCCACAGAATCATGAACTGTGAGAACTCAAGGTAGCCTCCAGGGCCACAGAAACAAGAAGGTCTTCCCTGTCAGTGGAATCGTGTTACTTCAGAGTTTTGCCTCTGTTGTCTCATTTACTCATCCTCATAATTTAGGTGGATGGGGATTATGAGTCCGATTTTACACCAGAGAAACGGAGGCTCAGAGAGGCTGAGTCATTTTCCCAGAGCCACACAGCCAGGAACTCGCAGAGCCAGGACTCAAACCCAGGAATTCTGGCTTCAAAAACCCTGCATTTCCTGCTACACTATCCCACCTCCTATGGGACCTCTCGAAGGACTCTTACAAATTAGGAAGGAAACGGAACTTGATTTCTTTATTGTCCTTTACATCCCGCAAGAATACAAACTCTATGAGGCAGGTATGTTTGTATATTTTGTTCACTGCTCCCACAATAATGCCTCGCACACACACTGAGCATTCAACAGATCTCTGCTGAATGAATGAATGAATGAATGAATGAATGAATGAATGAATAATGGAAAGAATGAATGGAGATGGCACCAGGCTTCAGGTTTTGCTCTTGCCCCATTCTACCACTGCCATTTCCTGCACATTCACAAACATCCCCTCATTTAATCAGGCCCATTCCAGGTTTTTGGCGAGCCCTGAAGTCAGAGGGACGTGAGTCTGAATCCTTTCTTCACCACTTGGTAACTGTGTGAATGGACCAGACTACATTGTGTATTTGCTTGGTTTCCTCCTTCATAATTGGGGATAACAGCAAGACCCAGGGCAGAAGGTACTGCTATGAATAAGGATGTGTTTCTAAAACACCTCACACATAGAAGGTGCCTAATAAACAACAACTGAGCCTGGGTGGCTCAGTTAGCTAAACAGCTGCCTTAGTCTCAGCTAATG